CCCTCACAGGGAAGAACTTCTTCCTAATATCCAATCTAAACCTCCCCTCTTCCAGTTTAAAGCCATTTCCCCTTGTTCTGTCACTAACTGCCCATGTCCAAAGTCCCTCCCCACCCTTCCTGTAGCCCCTTCAGGTACTGGGAGGCCGCTATAAGGTCTCCCTTGAGCCTTCTCTTCTCCAGGCTGAACAGCCCCAACTCTCTCAGCCTGTCCTCGTAGCAGAGGACAGCAATAAGCAGCTGTGCTTATCTCAAACTACTTCAACTATACAAACAAAAGGGTCAATACAGGTAAACAACAGAATGTCAAACTAAGAGGTCTAAATTAAGCAAAGGGTTACAAATTCAGATGCTTAAATCAATTTGCTCCTTTAAGTTTTCTTTATTTGTTTAGTCAACTTAAGTAGCCTAGTTTGGCTGTTTACTGTGCATCTATTTTCTCAGGAACCAAAAAGAAAATGGCCAAAGGTTACACGTTTTCTATTTTTGTCATTTTAAAGCAACGTTATTTTAAGCAAGGAGATAAAGCAAGTTTGTGTCTGAATAGTTACAATCCTTTGGATACTGCTGTAAGCCTGTCATTATTTTAAATGTGTTTGACAACACGAGTTGGCACTGATGCCGCTGCATCACACACACCAGTCTGGCATGTGTACCACCTCATCTCACCGTTCTTTCCTCCTCCTCCTCCCTTCCCTGCAAGCAGCTGGGAAAAGAGCTGCCGAGTACCTGGGATCAGTGAGAACCTACGTCCATACAAAGAACAGCCACTGATCCTTTGCTTTCCAAAGGGCCATGAAATATTCAAATCATGTCACCCATCACTACAGAGAAGTCAGCTTACGGTGAACTCCCTGACACAACTCCAGTAAGTGTTTTTCTTCTGGAAAAAAGACCATCTACGCAACTCTGATGTCTTAACGACAGCTTGAATACTAAGATACAAGGTAAAGCTGTTTCTTCCCACAGCATATCAGGAATACTTTAATAATCAAGAGGATTCAGATCAGCATTAATCAAAGCATGACTGGCTGTGTTTTTAAGCAAGAAAAACTTGTATTCAAATAATCATTACTGGTGTCAAATTAACTTCGAGTCATTATCCTTTAAATGTCAGTGAGCAGAGCGTGTCATTCGCATCCATCATCTACATCAGCAGACATCCCCAGAAAGATGACAACATCAGCGTTCACTCATCAACACACAGTCCTCTTTCATTTTAAAGTCAGACATTTACTAAAGATTCCAGTATTCCCTTTGATTTGAAGTGATGGGGGCGGGGATGGGGGAAGGATTTTATCCACGTAATACTGAAAAACACAAATATCTTAACTTTTTTTTTTTAAAGAATCAACTGGATTCACAAAAATTGGCTGAAATGAAACACAATGAAGACCTTCCCAGCAGCTATTGCCTTGCAGTTGTCTTCTTATGACAGAAGCATTATTACACAGTGAAACCCTTAAATCTACCAACGTTGAACACATACAATCAGAACAAATCAATTATCACTCAGTTTCAAAAGAACAACTTCCTTTTGCTATTACAGCAGCAATCCAGATCCCAAACTCTATCTATAAATGAAGATACGAGTTGGAACAAGGCAGTTCTTCACAAACACCATCCATTTTTGGGGAGTACACTGAATAAAAGACTGCCTGTATCTTGCAGTGTAAGAACAGTGCAACAAAATCTTTTATTGCTTACCAGGAAACAGTTCCACGTGATTTAAAACAAAGACTTGTGCCCTGGTTCAAAAACAGTCAGATAATTAAGAAGTATCAGACGCTAATCATGTCCATACAGTTTTAAGTCTGCTTCCTTGTGTACAAACACAAGAAAAACAAATCACTGATTTTCTGCAAAACTAAGCCTTATTCACTGTGAGACTTTTTTGGCGAGTGAAACGAAGGAAATGGTTCTGATACAGTGAATAGCTGTCTCATGAAATTATCTTCGTAAGGAAGGAGGTTCTGCAGGAAGAGTATGTCCGAAAACCGTTAACAAATATACACAAGGAGGCAGGATTGATGAAAAGCTACACGTCACCTTAGATTTACAGCCTTAACTACTGCGACTCTGCAACATACAAAACGGTTTGGTATGGAAAATTTTAAATAAAACAACTTTTTACAAGATTTGCAAGTGCATAGTTTACAAGTTCAGCCTTGTATGCCTGTTGTCAGTTTTACAGCAAGGAGGGACAATGTTTTGACAGATGACAATACAGGATAAGCCCTTTATCATGTTTCACTTTTATTGAACATTTTCTGCAAAGGCAGATTACAACCTCGCTTCAGGTTGCACGCATCAACTTAAGCCATGATAAATCAATACTTTTTGAAACCCAAATCCTAGTAGTAAGGGGTTAGGTAGTGGTTGATTTCTGTCCTTCGAGAAATTACAACAGTGTAACAGTCACTCGTAAAAGCAGTATGGTGCAAGAGGCTCTTTGGTGCCAAAAAACTGTCAGTGACGCATTAATGAACGCTACTGAGTAGAAAGCAATCCAAATTACAACTCTTCCTCGCAGTGCTAAAGAAACCTTAGAGAACACTGGAGACTCCCTTATCTCGAGCAGTCTGTGAAGAAAGATCACCATTAAAAGAAAAGCTGTATAAAAATCAATGACAAAAGACTTAAATGAGAAAGTATACCTTAACTTTCATCCTGAAATACAGGTCAGGTATGGCCCAGCTCTACAGCAGGCTTATTAAATAATCAGATTTAAGGTGATTTACACATTCAGACCTGAAAGATCACTGCCTTAATCTTACACCCATTTATATGGGCATTTACGTGGCAATCTTCTTGCATCATCTAAATCTTCAGTAGCGCCTAAAGAACATACTGCTTACACACCAGCATGCATCCAGAACACAGTCATATGGCAAACACCTAGAATTATGTAGAAACCCCAGATTTCAAGTGAATCCTAAGAAATACTAAAGTAACTTGCAATTCAAACATCTACTGACTCGTGGGTTTTTTTTTTTTAAACCGGCTAAGTGTAACAAAAATGCCGACTTACTTGTGATTTTTTGTTTTTCTCTCCAAACTACAATGTATAGGCCGATCCTCGCGTAGATATACACATATATACAAAATTTATAGAAAAACAGAAGTCCTGGAGACAAGATTCCTAACTTGAGCAGAAAAAACACTAGGTATACCATAAAGGAGAAACAGAGATAAAGGGCCAATTCTGTCATCACAAGCACTTATGGTTCCACGCTAACTTCAGTCCTTATTGCATGCATTAGATGCCCAGAGTCACAACTATCTCCGAGTACAGTTGAGCCAACTGACTAAATTGCTCTTCCAGTATTATCTCACTCTCAACCCAATCTAAAAGTCAAGGTACTATTAGGCATGTCAAGTAGAAGAGGAAGGAGAAAAAACAAAACCCTCATGTGATTTGCTACAGCATTAAGTGTAGTTACTTGTACAACCTGGCTGGGTTTGAAAAACTGCAAGTTTCCATTTCAAAAATCTATTCTAACTTGCAACACCTGCATGGTAAGAAACAGAAAAGATAAAATATGTGGCTTCTCAGACACTCATTTAAAACTATCATTTCTAAAAAAAATAAAATAAAATCAAACATTCCATTTCTTTTAAAATGCAAGTTTGCTTCACTGAACTATCACTGCAAATCCTACGTTATTTGTTTAACTGTGCCTGCCTCAGTGTATTCCAGAATACAGCTGAAACGTCTGCACCCCCTAGCTGTCACAGGTAACACACAGTACTTATCTCTAACTTACATTCATTTTCAACTTCAAATTTATTGAGGCAGTTTATATCAAGGTATCCATAAAATAATTCAGAAATAACCCAAGTATACCATTTAAACATCTTCATGATTTATCCATTTACACACTCAGTACACAAACAACCCAGCCTCTGTACAGGTTCATCACATGCAAACCACCCATAAAGACAAAAACTTAATTAAAAGTAAGTCACAACTCAGTGTACTGTTTCAACTGCACCTCCATTTACCAAATGGCACATTGAATAGTCTCTAAAATAAGATGTTTTTAACAATCTTGTTAAAAAATTCTTGGGCAAAATATTTCTAGACTTAAAAAACATCGAGATTTTTCAAAACACTCAAGATACTATACAACTTATAATAACCTTGAAATAGGTTTACAAGGTTGTTAACCAAGGTATTTACATACCAAATAATGTAAAGCAAAAAATTTGTATTTCTAATGACAAAAAGGTGATGCATTAAAGATTTATGAAATTAAAATTAAGGCTCTTTGTTATAGTTCTTTATGTAACTTTACATAATAGCCAACTTTGGAAATGTCAGTCTTGCACATTCTTGTCAGTCTACTGCGTTTAAAGCAGTAGAGTATATTAAGTATTACTTTGAATAATTACATTGCTACTTCTATGTTTGAGCATGCTTTCGAAACACTGTCATTATGAAATATTTACAATGTGTAGCCTTCAAACTTTATGTAAAAGCACAAGTATGCCTGTCTGATTCGAATACAAACAACATACTTGCAAAAAAACGTTTTTACTTCTCAAAATTAAATGTAAATTCCTACAGTCTTAACAAGCAAACCAGCTCTGTAAAGTTTTAATGTGTGCCTGAATGTGGACAGTAAAAGTTATGTGAAATTACTCAGACAGTACTGTTTTTCATTTCAGACTGAACTATTCTTTGTATCAGACTGTTTTCTTTAAGCATGTAGAAAAATTAAATATTTTTTTAAAAAAATTATTCCAAGACCTACATAGAATTTCTGAGCTATGCCCATAGGTTTCTTGAAAAATCAATACTGTCTAGCAGGTTGTAACAATTGGTCCACAGTTTATTTCAGGATGTGTGTTCAACTAAAAGCAACTTGCTGTTTTTTTTCAACGTCAAATCTCTTAAAAAGCACAGTGATATAAAACACTGAAGACAAAACAAAACAAAAAAATGGAATGGTAACCTAAAGATCAAATTCATTAGCCATTTCTCCTACTATATCAAAATTTGTAGTCAGAATTGTCTTTATTGACTTTATTTTTAATTTTTGTACACAAAGAAAAACATGTTCATATCCATCATGAACAAAAACTTAAAAAGGCAGAACTAGAAGACATTTGTGTCCTTCACCAAAGCAAAGCTGTGCTAAAGGTTCCAAACATTTCCATTTTTAAAATAAATATTTTCTTTTTTTCATTGTCTACATTCCAGTCTTCAGAATGTCACTGGAAACTGCAGCCTATCATGAAATACACACTTTTAAACAGAGTCCCAGCTCACTGTGTTTGGTAGCTTGCCATACCATATCCAGCTTGGTTAGGTATTACAGGAGCACCTTGTCCCTGGGCAGGTTGAGCACCAAATCCACCCATCCAGGCAGCAGATGGAGATTGGCTTAAAAAGAAACAGGATGGTTAAAAAACAGGAATGGAAAACCAAAAAATAATCATGCAAGCTAGTCAAGGTATTTACAAGACAACAGACAAGAAAAAAAAAAGAACATAAAAACATAATTCCACATAATTCATATCAAAACAGAATAATTTCTTCTTCTCTTTAATGACTAATTCAGGTTAAGTGCTACAACATGTGATTCTTGAAAATAGCATAAGCCTTCTAAGAAAAAAGAAGCCCCACAAACCTTGGGTACTAGTTGCATGGGACAACCCCCTCCAAAGGCATGTACATGTACATGTGCAGGTGGCTGTAAGTCAGTATCAGTGATGGAGAAATGCAAAAAATTCCCAACACCTACTTGGCATGAATACCAATAATGGGTTTATCAGGGCTTGATATGTTTAATTGGTAAGAGATAATGAAGGATTACGTAAACAAAGAAGTTATTTTAAAAGTATGTTAAAATAAAAAGTTGCTGTGAAGACTTCAGTCTTCAAGAGATCAAGTATTAAAAGCCCACCCAAATTCTGAAACTGCACAAGTTAACGTGTCAGTACATAGTTTCTTCTCTTTAAAGTCAGGAATCTTCCAACAAATGCCTGGGTTCCCTGGCTCAGACTCTCCAGTATTCAACACCTCAAGTCAGAATCCGGAAAATTTTTAGATATCAGACAAGACCACCATCCCAAACTCTACCTTAGAATAGGTCTTTGGGCCTTGAGTCTCAAAATACCCATACACAAAAAAACGTGTGATTGAGTACAAGTCAGAGTGACCCACCCCATTATTTGGTCCATGATAACCATCAAACATAAGCTTTAAGCGTGTAGGAGTCCAGCTAAGGCTTAAAACCTTGTGCAATCCTTGAAGCAAAAGAGCCTGAAACTCAGATATAACGTTCTTGGAATATTCTAAAAAAAATTAAATACAGTTACTCACTCTACTCCAAAACCCTGTTGATTCCACGCTTGGCCATACATTCCATATGATGGTACTTGCCACCCATTAGCCATATATTGCCCGTACTGTTGTGGATTTCCATATACTTGGCTCCATTGCCCCCACTGACTGTAATCCACCTAAGGAGAGAATCATTCATTGTACTCCAAGTTCTAGAGATGGATTATGTTCTTTTCGTGCTGCTGAAGGCAAAATTTCTGGCTATATCAATCACAGGGGCTATAACTACTTAGCAATAGTGAAAACAGAAAAATAAGTAAAACATCACTATGACTTAATTAGGTCCTTGTACTGATAAAGGTATTTCTGTGTGTTTGAAATAGCAAAGAGTGTTTGGTTGGACAGTCACCTAGTCTGCACAGTTAGTGAACCAGCAAGAATTACCTCAGAGTTTCTCCCTGTCTTGAATCATATCCAGAAGACAGTAACAGATATTCCATCAAACCCACTAGCCCAATTTGATAAACAACTGGAACATAACTGGGACAGAACGTGGAATTTCACAGGAAGACTACCACAGAAGTTAGCTGTCATGACTGGAAAGGCGTTACGGGTATAGACACAATGAAAACATTAAAGCACAGTTACCTGTTGGAAGTTTTTAGTCATATCAGGGGATTCTTTACCCCAGTAACATTTAACAACATGTCCTTCAATTGTGGTTCCATTAACTGAAACAATAGCATGTGCTGCACTTTCATGAGTTGAAAATCTAAAGAATGTGAAAACAAACTGATGTTATGCTTTATAGTACTTTCACCTGATTGTAAAAAAAACAGTGACTCCATACATACAGGAAATCCAGAGAAAAAGATCTGCTTTCACAAATATTCATCTTCTCAGGTAAAAAGATTGGTGGCCACTTTTAAAAGTTCCAAATTTTTCTATGAACATACGGTGATAGCTTTTAATGTATCAGCAGAAGTTCAATTAAGTGAAGTTACAGAAAGATGAAACGTTACTACATTAACAAAACCAGGTATTTCCTTTTGTCTCTGTCCGTACCTGACAAATGAGTAACCTTTTTCTGGAAAGACCCTTATTTCCATAATCTGTCCAAACGGTGAAAAAGTCTGTCTCATAAGTTGATCTACAACATATAATGTTTTTGAATTAGTAACCAGTTTGGTGTCCAAAAAGCTTCAATAATAAAAAAAGTAATAAACCAAATCATACCTGTTAGCCCAGAGGCAATTCCTCCACAGTACACAGTACAATTTTTTGGACTTGACTGATTTACTACATCTTCAAATCTCAATTGTTTTGTATTATCTACAAAGAGAGAAGGCTGTTTTTAAGCAGTAGGCTCAGAGAAACCACAAAGTCACAGGTACTTACCTCATACACAAGTATGAATTATAAATTTAACAAACACATTTGATATTTTATGATAGGCCAGTATTACCACAACTACATTGATTATAATATACCAAAATAATCTATTCTTTAAGATCTGAAAGTCAAGCTAGATGTGTAATTAAGTGACATGATTTTGGCAACATTATGTTTGACTTCTCCATTGAACACTGATGTGCAAGACAGCAAACACAACACAGCATTACATGAAGGTCTTACTTTCTTGTGTACTTTTCGGTGCTGGTGGTTTTCGTGTTGCCCAGTTAGTTCTGATCTGACGGCCTCCCAACCACTGGCCTCCCATGTGTACAATAGCATTTTCTGCATCCTAAAGAGATTAAAATAAAAGATTATAACACATTCAAACAAGAAGCATGCACAAGTCTACTTCTAAGAAAGACTTGGCTGTCAGTTAATTCTGTTGACAAAACCAGTAACAATAATAACAGCCAAAAATGAAGTACCATGAAGGGGATCAGTTACAGAGAAGGTCCTCACAAGTGACTAGCAAAACCCTCCTCCCACCCCCATTTTCTACACACAGGTGAGAAGCCAACTACAATCATACATATACTACACCTTTACACAACAAGCACCTGTATTAGAATATTTGAAGGCTGCCCAAAAAAGTACAAAGGTCATAGAGATACCAGAAGCAATTATGGAAATAAAACAACTAGGATTTTAATTATGTATTTAAAAAAAAATATTCTGAAAACTGTTTAAAAAAAATGCAATACACAAAAGTATATTTAATAGTAAAGGAGGAAAGGTTTTTTTAATCATTGAAATCCCTCACTGAAAAATTTCTCAGTTGTAACCCAAGTAACGTTTATACCATGCAGTCTGTGTTTGCAAAAGACAGTGGATAATCACAGCTGAATGTGGTTTTTTTCAGAATCTTAATCTTTCAGAAAAATACAAAGTTCTGGGAAGGCTGATTGGTAGTTACTAAGAAATTGTAATGCTGAGATACAAACAGATTGAGCACCCAAGTTTCCTTTTATTTATAATTTGCACACCCCCCTGTCCCATCTTCTCTTCTGCCCTCTCAAGGGATGCAATTTATGTCCGACCATAGACTGTTTTGTAAGTTCTCTAAATATTACAAGTCCCTTTATGAATACACACACAAAAAATAGTCTACACCCCACGTGGCCTAACTACTTTTCATAAGGGCAACTAATGACAAAACAAGGGGAAATGGGTTTAAGCTGAAAGAGGGGAGGTTTAGATTAGATATTAGGAAGAAGTTCTTCCCTGTGAGGGTGGTGAGACACTGGAACAGGTTGCCCGAGGAAGTTGTGGATGCCCCCTCCCTGGAAGTGTTGAAGGCCAGGCTGGATGAGGCTTTGAGCATCCTGGTCTAGTGGAAGGTGTCCCTGCTGATGGCAGGGGGGTTGGAACTGGATGAGCTTTAAGGTCCCTTCCAATCCAAACCATTCTATGATTCTACTCAGGCATGAATCAGAAGACAATTTTTAAGTTGACACTGTAGGCAGAAACATCTGTGTAAGCAAGGGGTAAGTTTGCTAACACTTGCAAAAAGCAATTTTTCCCCAATTACTTTCAAAGAGAAGCAGAGCAAATAGTATATATATTTTTAAATGCTTTCCAAGGGCACAAAGCTTAAGAAAGAAAAAGTCAAGGACAAGGGACAAGGAGAACATCTGGATCAGCTAAAAGTGAGCAGCTGGCATCATCCCGCCTCACACTGAAGGTTTCCAGCTATAAGAGACTTGTCTCAAACTCAAATCACTCAGGACTTTGCTTCTCCCAAGTTCTAATTACACAGAGTGCTCATTTTGAAGACAATATAATTTATTTTTTGTATTTATCTAAGAGATGCCAAGAAGAAAAAAACAACAACAAGAACCTCCCAAAAACCCATCAGACATTAAAAAACAAAAAAATCTTGCTCCCAAAATGTAATGAGTAAGTTACAAACTGACTAGGAAAGGAAATGCTCTTCTGAATCTTGCTGCTAGTCCTGAGGATCAGAGTTGTGCCAAGAATCCCAGAATTGCCTGGATTGGAAAAGCTCTTTAAGATCATCGAGTCCAATCATGAACCCAACACGGACAAGTCCCCGACTAACCCATGTCCCTCAGCACTATGTCTACACGACTCTTCAATCCCTCCAGGGATGGGGACGTCACCACTGCCCTGGGCAACCCCTTCCAATGCCTGAGAACCCTTTCAGCAAATAAATTCTTCCTCAGATCCAATCTCAACTGGCCCTTGGCACAACTTGAGGCCATTTCCTCTTGTCCTAAAATGGAACGGAGCCCAGGCTATAACTGCTGCAGTTCTCAAAGCAGGAGTTTAATTTTCTCCCAGTTGTGGTGTGCAGTAAGAGCTCACACTGCAGCACCTGAACTCGGGGAACATACCCCATTTCCCCAAATCTAGCAGGATGGCAATAAATTCCTTGAACTACCAGCTCAGGATGGCTGTGCCATAACCCTATAGATGCAGCTGCTGCTTGAATGAACAGCAATCAGGGTATAAATTTTAGGAGTACTTCTTAGTATTTCATCTAGAATTCATCCCTTAATTTTGCAGAAAGACTACAGATTTTAAATGGGAGTTTTTATGGCTCAGTCTTAAAAGAATCCAGTGACTTGCATTCCATAGGACTGTGACATTTCCCCTATTGTCACAGAAACCAAACGTAACCGTGTGATAAGGGAAGAGGGGTACAAGGAAACAATGCATCTATTCCTCTTGTCTACTTCAGCTGCAACACAAAGGAAGTGTAAGTGGAGAAACACACTAAATCAAGGCATTCGATTGCAGTATCTTCTGGCATTTGCAAATCTGAAGAAAATAAATTCTAACAACTTCTTCTGGGTAAGATACAGGTCCAGGTAAGAGTTACAAAAGATAGAAAGAGTCTTGACATGTAGGACTTCTGACCAGACAGACAGGCTTATATGCTGAATATCCTTAATGGTGTGTTTTTCCTATGCAAAATATTTAAGGAAAACCATTTACACAGTTTCCCCATGTTGTGCTACATGTACCTCTGAACATACACAGCTCAATTTTCCAAATAACTTTCACAAATTTCTTACGCTGCCAAACATTTATTTAGCTTCCAAATTACCAACAATCACTTGCTGAGTGCACTGTATTGCTACAAACAGCAGGGCATAGCATTATTTTTATCAGTACAACGCTGATTAAATTCTACAAATCACATCTTTAATATCTGTATCAAAAAGGGATTCTAGTCACTTGTTGGAAGCATTTTTTCCTAAACACACATAACATTATCCTTTGTGTAATGATGCCCAACACAAAACCAAGAACAACCTTCAGTTTTACAATATGCACAAGGAAAACACTTCAGAAGCACAGAATCAAACCCTTAGCTGCAAATTAATTGCTCAATACAAAGAACCATCTTAGATTTCAAACCATTCTAACAATTCAAGCAAAGGACCGAGGGCTCCAGGATAACATTTTGGAGGGATTCCTGCCTTACACAGGATATGGCACTGGACCTGGCACGGTGTCTCAGCTAAGAGGCCCAAAGAACTACTGATGGTACCAGGCACCCAACTCTGTAAGAGAGAAGGTTCCACAGACTAAGCTAAACTACCCTCACACACCCAAACAAGCTTTCTACATTCAGGAATCTCCTTTCACAGTGTTCTCAAATCTTTTTTCACACTGTTCTCACAGCATCGTTGTCATCTGAGTTGTTTCAACCCTGAGTTGTTTCCCC